TTCTTCCAAAGTGCAATTCTCGACGGTATCGACCTGGACATCGAGGACGCCAAGTCAGAAGGCTATGCTCAGCTGGTAAAAAGTCTTCGAGATCTGGAGGACGGCTCGAAAAAGTATCTGATTACTGGTGCTCCTCAGTGTGTATATCCTGATGCATCTCTCGGCCCCTCCGAGGGTACTGCCCTGACTGACCAGGGAGCCCAGTTTGATCACGTCTTCGTGCAGTTCTATAACAACTTCTGCCACACTGGCGACCAAGCACAATTCTATCCAACTATGGACAAGTGGCTTCAGTTTGCATTCGACGCTACCCGAGGAATGATACTGAAGAGAACTGTGGAGGTTTTCGGGCCCAAGATATTCGTGGGGATGCCGTCTCACTCAGGGGGTTCAGGAGATCCCAAGTATTACCGGACCCCTCAGGAGGTGGCCGCGATCTATGAGGTGATTTGTTCTGAGCTTTAACCAAACAAAAATCACGAAGGGAAGAAAGGATCCTGACATATTCTTTGAAACCTCGCTTCAAAATTTTACTTCGCACACAAAGTTTTTTCCTTGATCCACAGAAACAAAAATGTCAAACTCCAATCCAGTCTTACTGAGGGCCTCACTTGTTCATTGTCCGATTTCTTGTCATCAAATTCTACAAAGGAAAATCCTTTTTTCCATTCATTTTTAAATTTTTTTTCTACACAGAAACTAAAGGATAAGCCAAACTTTGGAGGGTTCATGCTATGGGATGCTTCTTGGGATCAGCAAAATGTCATTCAAGGAAAAGTCTATAGCGACCACATTGCGGACATTATCAGCGAGAGCGGCAACTCAGGGAAACCGACAGGAGTCCCAACCACAGCTACACCTGGGTACACCCCAACATCGGATGGATCGATTACCCCTGGGGGAACTTTACCTCCGACAACTCCTGGTGGGTCTCCACCTCCGACAGCCGGAGGTTCTACGCCTTCTACCTTACCCGTTGTTCCTACGTCTCCACCATCCCCAGGGGAAGGTGATGGTCTTGGTATGTAGGATTTTTTTTTGTGCCCGTTGTTTGTATGTGTTATGAAAAGCAGATCAGAAAAAATGTTGTGAGAAATTTAGAACACATAATTCCAAAGGGATGGAATGCAATCGAGAGATGCTGAGAACGACTTGGTTTTATCTGTGACAAAATTTACAATGCAGTGTGCAATTAGTGTTTAAAAGGTTGTCTGAGCAATTTGTTATTGAACCATCTATCACGGAGTCGATATCGAGAGGTGCAACCGACCAGCTTGCAACATTTGAGATAGATCGCTCGTAGACTTGAATCAAAAGATTTTAGTCTCGGTAGAAGCTGTTATGCTGTTGATTTTCAGCCATATAATCAACGAAATTTAGGTAAGGGAATATAAGGAGACAGAGTGCATTTTGAAAGCTAACTTCTCTACAAGGCTGAAAACCTCAGCTTTATGTCGGAGGAAAGAGTGCACATACTACATTACAAGGCTCGAAACTTCAGCTCTAAAAATTCCCGATCGTGGTTCATTATTGGTTAAACAACTTGTAGTTGATCATAAACTCCCTTTTTACAAAAAATATTGTGAAACGCATATTGTCAAGAGATTTTTAGAAAGTCTTGCGATACATTCTGAAACAAATCTATTATTTTCCCACATTTTATTATTTTTAAGATTTTTGCAAAGGAAAAGAAGATGGGGACTACAGAGATCCGGATAATCCCTCGGGTTACATATCCTGTTCCGGGGGAGTGACCCACAAGAGAAAGTGTCCCCAAGGGCTCGTTTGGAATGAAGAGGGAAAGTACTGTGATTGGCCAAAGAAGCTTAAATCGAACACAAGGGGGAACCAACGTCCTTTCTATTTCAAAGCTCTGAAGCACTCAGCAAACGTGATTCAAGTCTTGAAGAAGCGAACGAACGAAGGAAGAGTCGGACGCGGAAGGAAATTGAACGAATGGAAGAACACAAGAAATACTGAATGAATCAGTCACGGAAAGAACTGATAACAATTGAAAGGACTCAAAGTATCTCCTCCTGAAATAAATCATGTTTACTCGATTCAATTAAATTTTAATCTATCCAAAGTAAAAAATCGCATCAAAGTAAGAACGTCTTATGGATCCCTTTATTGATTAACGCCTCTCTTCCAATTTGCTTCGCGAAAACAAACCTTTATCGCCCTTTGCACTGTCAAATATTGCAATAACATTGTAATTAGTAACGGAAGCTGTCAGTTAATTTGTTCTCCTGCGACGTAAAGTTGTTTTCGCGGACCTATTTCACATAGATGGGGCATTATGAAAAACTGATACAATTTCGTGTTCTACTTCATTGAGTAAAGGCAATGGAAAAGAGGTTGCTTCTCTCAGTTAAGCTCTACGAGGAAAATAATAAGCTTAACGCTGAACGCGTTTGCGCATTTTTTCTTAAGACAACATAAACGTGATGTCTTACAGAAGAAAACAATTTGTATCGCGACTATCTGTTGCGAATTAAAGGACGGCCAGATAATGTTATGGTTGTGTTACATGGTTTGCCTATTTACGAATTTGGTAGAGGATAACTGCCGGCGTGTTTGACAAGTGAACTTGATGTCATCGACGTTCACCACAAGACTCAAGGAGGGAGTTAACCCTCAATCAGTCTAAACAGGTTTCTGTAAATAACTCTATTTTGCAACTGTCCAAAACACGTGAACCTCAGCCGATGGAAACTGTGTCACCAGCAGCATCGATTAAACTACTTCTGGTGCCACTACAACCTATCATTTACATAGCAACTCCTATAAACAGAGAATTGCGCCCTAACATGTATTTCTAAGGCGATATTCACTTAATTTATTTAAAAATTGCTTTAAATAATCAAAATAAATTGCTCTATGCAATGAATGACCTACTTTTTGACACGAGAGGGAGAGACTCCTGAAGATTGCGACATCAACGAACGATTGGCCGCTTTTAAGATTAACTTTCATCTTATCTCTCTACAGGGCATTTTCCCCTCCATGTTCCGCACTTGTGACAATTTTTATATTAGCATCTTTCCGATAGAGCATTGAATTCGCTGCAGTTCTCTGCTATAACCCAAAGTTAATTGGTATGCCCTTAAATCGTGTTAACCGCTAATTTGAGCTGATTGAATCTGATTTTAAAATCATCTGACCTGAATTTTTATTCAATTGAGGTTTAATTCAACGTTTGCAATCCTGCAGAATTTATGGGGAAGTCTACCAGAAACATTACTGCTAATTTATCCAAACTTCTCATTAGCATTTTAAGATGTTTGTTGTAATTAGTACCATGATAAAGGTGATTGGGCTTCTCAGCGGATTCCTTTGATTTCATAAATGGCGTAACTTCCTTTGAGAGTGTCATGTTGTTAGGCGTAGCTTGGTCATGAAAATTATCTCTACCTAAGTTATTTCGCGGTATTTCGCAAGGTACAAATTAAATTGACGCTTCCTGTTGAAGTTCAAAAGATTCCGTCTATCTCTCCCTGCCTATATATGAGCTTCATCACTTACAGCTCCACTCACTAAGAACCCCACTCAACGACAGAGCTTAGCAATGAATTTGCAGCAGTTCTCTGTCATAACCACACGTCAATTGGTATGCCTCTCAATCGGTGATTTGATCTAATTGAATTTTTATTTAATTAAGGTTTAATTCAATGTTTAAAATTTCGTAGAAATTATAGGGTGCAGAAGTTTAAAAAAAATTACTGCTAATTGATTAAAAATCCAATCTGTTCAATCTCATTATCAGTTTAAGATTTTTGCTCTAATTAGTACTCTAATAAATATGACTGGGCTTCTCAACGGATTCCTTTGATTTCATAAAGGGTGTAAACTCCTTTGAGGGTGTCATGTTGCTAGGCGTAGCTTGGAAATAGAGAATATTACTTCTGAAAGTTATAAGTATTTCGCAAGGGACACAAATGACGCTTCCTGTTCTAATTGCGGCTCAAAAGATTCCGTCTATCTCTCCCTGCCTATATTAGAGCTGCATCACTATCAGTCGGTTGCAGACAGAAGTCCATTGCCACAGATTTCATCAACAGATCGAAGTGAAGGGAACATGAAGATACTGAAGAGAATCAGTAAGCGTTTTAAGAAAAAGCCGAAGATTTCAACCGAAAAAATGACACCAGAGGAGAGAAGAGACAGTGCCACGGTTCAGCATTCGCTTGAGAGCAGGCGTCGATCAAGTGAAACTAATGTCCTGGATCTGCGAAGACAGGAACATCTGGAGAACATGAAACAGCTTTCCGAACGAAAGGCAGCAAGAAGCAGATACCAAACCATGTCATGTAACAGTTACTTCACGATGGACCGAGAAAGTGACAGTATCTTCTTGAAGGATCCGCGCCTGACTGAAAACGCAAAGAAACTGACAGCGGAACAGATGCAGGCCTTAGAATTGGACATCTTCAAGCCGTTGGATTTCTACGAGATTTTGTTCAACAGAATGAAAGCAAAAGATGACGGCGAAGCTTCGGAAGAAGAGCAAGAAACGGAGAGCACAGAGTATTGTCTATTTTGACTGTGCAAAGAAAGCCGACATAACACTGGTGGAGACACGTATACTAGAAACTGTGGTTTGAAAAATTTCATGTGGAAGGTCGATCAATTAAACAACATACCATATTTCTCAATGACTGACCGCTATTTAGCCTTTTACAGAAATGCAGGGTTCTAATATGCGAGTTTTACTGTATGATGACAAAATTCTCTGTGTTATATTTCTGTCTGACTCGCGTCCATTTTCGAACTGTACTTAAGATGGTTTGATGATACAAGAACTATTTAACTGTATCTTTCAATGATGAATCAATAAAATTTGGCGTGGCATTTTTTGTTTTATCAGTTGTGTTTTAATAAGTGAACCTATGCAAGATTAAACTGTATTTTACGTAGACGATAGCATGAAGACAAGCAATAATTCGTAGCGTCCTTGAAAGTAGATCTTTGAAACCTTTGTTTCGCAAAATCCCAGAAAAATGCATCAATGCTAATAACGCGTTTGCCTGAGACAGTCCGTGTGTGTAAAGTAGTTGTCTCTTTCAGCCACTGAGTTTGTAAATGAGGTGCAAAATGAACAGGGCGAGGATTCAATGGGGCGAAACGAACGAGTCTCAAAGTAAACGGGGAAAAAAGTGCACATGAAGCGAGAAAACGAGAAGCGAAGTGAACGTAAGAGAAAGAAAACGGGAGAAACAGTAAACGTGAAGCTAAGAAAACGGCACGTGAGGTGAACGTAATAAAGGTAAACGGGGGCAAAAGAGAACGTGAGGTGAGCTCACGAGAAGCGAAATGAACGTGACGGAAAATAAAAGGGGCAAAACGTGAACATGAAGGCAAGCAAACGGGGCGCGAAGTGAACGTGACGCAAAGCAAAAGGGAGGAAAAAGAAACGTGAAGCCAAGCAAACGGGAAGAAAAGTGAACGTGATGGAAAATAAACGTGTTGCGAGGTAAAAAGATGGGAAGTAAACGTGACGTAAAGTGGAAGTGACGCAACGTAAACGGGGTCGCGGTAAACGTGACGCAAAGTAAACATGATCCAAAGTAAACGTGACTTGAAACGGGATGCAAAGTACACTTGACGTGAAGTAAACGGGAGGCGAGGTAAACGTGATTTTAAGTAAATGAGGGACGAAGTAAACGTGACGCGACATAAATGGCTAGAACAGCGGCAAATAGTTTTTCTCGTGCTACAGTAATTTTCTGGAGTTTCACTTACGATTTACTCATGGCTCGTGATTATGTTCAATTTTGTTTATTTTGTGTTTATTTGATTCGTGACAGTGATGTCGATCGCGACGAGAGGGCGGCCACAAACAAACGTCCTAATGGAAATACAAAAACGTCATTATCTTCAACAGATGAGAGCTCCACTGCTAAAATATCTCTCAGGAATCAGATTATGGCCTTAACATACTCTTTCTAAGTCAGATGTAGCTTCAGATTTATTTTCATTTTTTTCTTCCTAATCTACGTCACTGTTTTCTTCTTATTTTTGACCCAACCGTGCATGAAACCGGCATTGCGAAAATCATTTATTTAATAATTAAGCTCAAACTAAAGAGGGCTTTCATGTGGAACCCATGTTCCAAGATCTGATCTAGGAGCACAAAATAAGTCTCTGTGCAAACAGAACAACGTCTGTTTCGTTTTTTAGGACTCATATACTGTAGCAAAGATCAAAAGCACCTTAGGGTCGGGAATACTATTGGCATAGGCATGTTACAATGGACACAAGCTCTACGCAAACGGCTTTGGTTCCAACAGTTAGTTTCCCCTTGGAGAAAGCTCGAGAACTGATGGCAAAAGGATTGAAATTTTAAAAAAAAAGCCTTTTGTCCTGACAAATGCAAATATTTCCTCTTGATTGAAAAAGCGAATGACATAAACGTAAATAACAAACAAGACGAAAAAAACGCTGATGATGCCGAAAAAAATCTTATTAATTATATTATAATTATATTATATATTAACAACACCACCTGGTACATTTTTCATATTTCGATCAGATATTCTCTGAAAGAAGGAGACCGTGTTGATTTGTGATTTATAACCAGCCTTGAATGAAAATGTTCTCGTCAGAAACTACGCCTTTTTAATTCGATTTCATTTTATAATACAGATTTCCCTCAGATCTGTTGACAAATTATGTGAACAATTTTTATTTTCTCAGACTAGTTATGAGTCTTTCTGATCAAAGTTCGAATGATTTTTTTTCTTTGTCAGTTTTTAAATCAAGCTAAGGGCTGAGGCTTTCCCAGGCGCATGTTTTCATCATTGGTTAGGCACATAGTCACTATTGTTCATCTACCGTGGTCAACATCGATTCTGTCCCTGAAAAGACACCGTCTTTGGATATGACGGTTTCAATATTATCACTGTTAATGCTACCAGTGAGATGTGCTTTACCTAACGCCATTCTCAAGTAAAAAGTTGAGGGAATTTTTTAAATCAGTCAATTCGTGGCAAACAACTTAACTGTTTTGCATTATTTTATGAAGAGACCGGTGGTCCATATCAGCGCACTAACGTTCAGAGGATCTGATGATTGCCCAAATTATTGGATTAAACTATTGTATTTCTTTCAAACGCTCGTATTTTTCATTAACTTCATAAATTTGAAATAATAATACCACAAAAGAACCGTATAATTCCCGGGACGTGTGTAAATTAACTAAATAAAAGAAGGTGTGCATTCATGCATACATAAATTAGTACAATTTTAACTTAAAATCCACGATGAGACCACGACTCAGAAATACGAAAGGCAAAAACACACGCTCTCTTATACTGATCTTCTAAGGTAAGATCCGAATTTTCCCTTTTTTCCCTTTGCCCTTAAAAGGGATTTTCACTTAAATAGTTTGTTGTGTAGACCATTTCTGGATTATATGCTCAGCCATCTGATCACGTATTTATCCGTGACTCGTCGATAAATTTTATTTTTGTAAGATTCGTTCACCCACCAAAGACAGTCGCTTTTTTCTGCCTGCTCAAGTCAAAAATCTTTAGGGATTACATTCAAGACAGTCTGAAATCTGAAAGGCCGCGAACATTATAAAGATCGATATTATTTACACTTCTCGAGATTTACACCACCGCGTCAATGTTTTTTCCCGAGGTGTTAACAAAGCAATAAGTCACTGAGTTTTACAAATGTTTGCGATTAAAATGAACTCTGATCGCAAATGAAAGAGAGTAGCTAAACGTCAAACTAATTTGTGAAAGGTAGCTGACGTTTTTTCTGTCTTTGACACAATTCTGACGACTTCGCTTTGAACGTCAAACTAATTAGTGAAATGTAACTGACGTTTTTCCTGTCTTTAACGCAATTCAGACGACTTCGCTTTGAATACTTAAACAAGCTGGAGTGTTATACATAAATCATATCGTTCGACATCGAACAACCTAGTGGGTATTTATGTGAGCGATTTCTAGACTGCATAGGAATTTGGAATGCCTTAACGGCGGAGTGTTTTAAACTGCGTAAGTACAAAAAAAAAAAAAGATATAATTAATATGACAAAACATGCTTATCATCAAACACGCCAAATCGAACAGAATTACAGCCCCTTGGAAATTAAGCAGTAAATTTCAATTGCCAATGAGATTGAAAGTACTAGGCCATGCTGTCCAATCAAAACCAAAGAAAAATATTGAGTGAATATAGGCTATGTCATCTCAAAACTAAAACTATTTATCTAACAAGGTCCAATGTCAACGTCTTCCTTAGCTATTTAACGAGCTGTTTGACACAATTGATTGAAAAAGTAAAGATAACAATACAATTATCATATTTTACAATGCTACAATTCAAGACGGTAAAAGGCTTTTTTATTCTTACAAGGACCGTAAGTAATCCATTAAAGAGTTTCTTGCACCTCGCCGTCGGCACAAGTAGTTGTGACAATAGGCCTTTCAGTCGTCCAATTTAAGGATAAATCGCGATCGTAACTCCTTTTTAGTCCTAGCGATATATATTCGGCTAATTTGGAAAAAACTACGCCAGTATTCAAGAGTGATGTACTTAGTAGTAGGGGATATTTGTGGCTGACATACATATAAATAGAGAAAATGCAAATGTAAACATAGAGTACACGATTATAAATTGTGTCACTTGTGTCACAGACAATGTTGATGAAATTGATTCTATCATAGCACCACAGCGAAGATCTAAAGAAGGCTACCAAAGGTTTCACTGATTCTCGCTAATTTGGACCTTGGCAATTCTGTGAGTACCTTGAATCGCTTTGTAAATACCTTAAATTTTTTTATTTTCGAGTGCGAACACTGCTTAGCAAAATGCTTGACAACAGCAAGCTGAACCGGCTGAAAGCAAATTCAATCAGTTGGGAAGTGAATGAACAAAGTGGTTCGCTTTTGAGCTCGTTTGCTCGTAACAAACTATGCAATTATTTACAGATCAATCAACTCAAACAAGGTAGCTTACTGCAGCAAATTACTCATTTTCAGTATCTAAAACAATTCACCTTTCCCTCGCTATTTGATCGAGCGTGCCTGCGTTGTTGACTCCAAGATGTCTTAGGTTGGAATCGATTCTTGCAAACCAAAGGTACCACCGCTTTGAAATCGACACGCTCATTTACATTTCTTTGGGGATTGAAAGATCGCAGGCAGTTTTACTTTGTCTTATTTTAATAGAGACCGAATTTTTTAAACGCGCGGAATTTATCACTCAATGACACCCTTACTGATGTATATGCCACAAGACCAATGTTGTCATTAGATGAGGGCACAGAGAGCACAGAAAGTTAAAATTGACTTATTCTATAATAAAAACAAACAAACATGTAAACAAAACAATTAGGTAAATAAATGATAAAACATGTGAGGGAATATCTATCTTTAGAACTCTGAGAAATTCTTAAAAGGTGAATTTAGGGTTAGTTATCTGATTCAGATAACTAACTGCTCGAGGGTTTGAAATACCTCTTAGTTGAAAATTGTAACCTGGTTCTTTAATTATGATCCTCCCAAACAGCTGTAGTCATTGGGATCGCAGACATTAAACCTTTGTAGTGATTACAGGTATATACCCCATTTTAGCGAACGTTATAATTTTGGCTTTCACAGACATCGCAAAAATCTTAAGATTTGTCTGGTTTACATATTTTCCTTATGAACGCAATTGGGTATCCTTTGTGAACTTAATTTTAATTCCTCAGAAAGTAACACTGATATATACAACTCTAGATTACATGTTTACTTTGAATATGAGTGCAATCTTCATCAACCAATAAGCTCCTTAAATACTACCAGTACAATAATTATCTTGCCCTCTCTTGCACCTCCGGTTTCCAAACAACCCAAAACTGAAAAATCAACGGAAGCATTACATCTGTGTTCCGCCATTTATTTTTCCGAAAACAAGTCTTCCTTTAAATTTTTTTCTTACTTAACTCTAAACTGTTACTTTTATAAAGAAAGAGACGAAACGAAATTGGTTGAACTATAATTTTGTTGAGCTGCTTAGTATTGAAAAATTCGCCTAGCTCATAATTTAAATTGCTTTGGCAAATTCTGGTCACGTTCTGCATTAAACACAAAGATAATAATTAAATTTTTGTGAATGCATCTGTTGTCAATGAGTGGTGTGAATCATAAGGAATCCGCGGTCAGCCGTTCACAGAATAAAATACCAGCGTTATTGTTCACCTTGAAAAACCACACGCAAACATCCTTAGCTTTTAAGTTTTTTTCCTTTCAACTCTGCGTGCAAGGTAGTCATTTCCAATATTTTTTTGCAAGCTCTCCTTTGGAGGCAAAGAAAAGTCAAATGAATTTCATTCTTAGTTGTCATTTAACTGTGATTGACAAACAAACTCACCTCCTCTTCCTATCGCGTTTAGACCACAATTAATGCAAGCTTGGTTTATGCAAATGTCAAATAAACGACAGAAGAGTTTTCATCATTTTATTTGAAAGAAAGCCAGGGTAACGTCAAGGTAAGAGCGGTAACGACATTATTGTGTCTGTAGCGACTACTTTAATTCAAAATTATCACTCAGAATCTTTTCTTGAGTACCAGACTAAAAATTGTGATAAAAAATAGAAAACTTGCTCGGCGTCCACTGTAAAGATAGCGATGCACTTACTGAAATTATTTTGTCGCCCGAATTTATCCTATTTCTTCCTACTTATAGCTTTTCTTGGTTTTTTTTCTTAACTAAACAGATATTTTTTCCTTTCAAAAAAAAAAACATCAATGGAAAACATACGGGCTACTTATTTTCTACTTAAAATTCCAATTCGTGTCATTGTTATTCGAGGCATTCGGTCTTTAAAAAATCTATTTGCTATTTCATTTTAAGTACGTTTTCATTGCAAACTTTTATTTTCCTTTATGTCATATTTTTGTTCAGTTTCCTCATGAAGTGGTACACTTTTAGACAGTTCATAAAGAAAAGAGTTCATTGAAGGGTAAACTTACTTCTCTATATAAATATATTTCTTAAATTAATAAATTTTTGATTTAATATTGAGATTCAAGTCAAGTTACATGTTCCAGTAGCGATTCAAACAAAATATCAACCGTTGTCAGAAACGCTGACGCCAAAAATTTCCAATGTTATATTTTTCCCTGGGCGCTGTGGAAAACGGGCACATCGTCCCAAGACAGATATTTAGACGTGCTTAAACTTTTCACGCTGATGACCACCTGCTCCTAGAAATTGATAACATCAAACCATAACACCGCACATAAATTGAAAATGGTTTTGTCTCTTTCACTGAGTTTAATCTGATTTGCCTCAAGGTGTATGAAAAGATCGTCGATTGTCACTCGAACGTGCACGTGATTCTTAAGAATAAGTCAGATCCTACAACTTGAGAAATACATACCGTTCGGAACGGCGAAAGTTTTGTGAAATTGTTCATTTAAACTGAAGCGTTGCTATGGAGAACTGAAATTTCTGAAACGCGCATACGCTTAGTGTTAGATAAAATTAACGAACTGATGCGATACGAATAAAACAAATCTTTATTTTGTCGGGCTTACTTCATATTCAGATCGCCAAATTTATCGCACTCGTTTATATTACATTTACTTTTGATCGACAAGAAGATTTGAAGAGATCATAACCAATTGCATGTCGGAGCGAATGCGCTACCAACATGGAATACAACATGCAGATGCTAAATCCGCACAGTGATTGTAAAAATTATAAGACCATGGAAACAACTAATGATTTCTATGAAAAAAGGAACTGAAAATATTAAAAATCTGAAAAAAGGAAATTCAATGATAAACAGCGAGGTCTTAGGAAGTGTATGTCTTACGTTGTTGATTGGCTGCCTATAGACTCATTTAGTGTTGTTATTTCGCTGTCATTCCTTAAGTTTTCGTTATCATGAATTCTTCGTTCATATTTTTAAGACTAAAACATTCTGCTGTATTCAGAGTCATTGCTACCGCAAAATAAAACTAATCTGTATTTTGTCGAGTTTTCTTCATATCCAGATCGCCAAATTTATTGCACTCGTTTGTATTACATTTTCTTTTGATCGATACAAAGATTTGAAGGGATCACCTTACCAATTGCATGTCGGAGCGATTGCGCTACAAACATGGAATGCAACATTCAGATGCTAAGTCCACACGGCGATTGTAAAATTATTAGACCATGGAGATAACTAATGAATTCTATGAAAAAAGGAACTGAAAATATTTAAAATCTGAAAAAGGAAGTTCAATGATTAACAGTGAGGTCTTAGGAAGTATATGTCTTACGTTGTTGATTGGCTGCCTATAGACTCATTCTGTCTTGTTATTTCGCTATAATTATTTAACTTTTCATTATCATGAATTTTTTGTTCATATTTTAATACAAAAACATTCTCCTATATCCAGAGTCGTTGTTACCGCAAAAAATCACTAGTATATGCTGCAGAACGAAAATCTCACCAGTAAGGTAAGTCTAAAGACGAATTTGTCCGATCTCGTTTTAAACTGGTACAACCGTTATTCATGAAGGGATTTTCGTGAGGTGAGCCTCATATTCCCTTGAATCGTACTATGAAATAATTTCATGAATAGTGATTTCAGAATGAATTAAAACAATGCAGAAGCCACAGACTAGTAAGTGAATTTAGACCATTTCTAAATAACCATTATTCGTCAACTAACTGAATTCACGCTAAAATCAATTTCTTCTTGAATATCTAATCCGTCGCGAAAAAGAAACAAACTTCTTAAATTTTAAAACAGTTTCTTGTTCCTTGCCTTACAGTCAAGTAAATTCTTACAAAATTCCATGTCGCTCTCCCAGCTCAGTTTTATTAAGACTTTGATCTGCATACCTGCGTTTTTTTGAAAATATTTTTAACCACGGAAACGCTCTAATCAAGATGACCTTTTTCTAATTGTGGTTACCCTTCTATTTTTAACAATATTTATTGCATGCAGAGCTCGAATAGTCCGATCTTCTTAGCGAGAGAAGTATGGGAAAGAAATGTCATTGGTAGCAGTGAATATTATTATGCGGAAGTCAAAGTCAGTCAAACTATGCTCCCTCTTTTCTAAGAATTCATAAATTGCTGAAGACAATGAGGTCTTTACCTTTTGAATTTAATTCCTGTTTTCAATAAGCATTCTTGGGTCAAACTCGTAAATTTATGAACCTCGTGAGAGGTTTAGGCACCACTTAAAGAATATCTCAGCGAATTAGGAGAAACTTGAAGACCTGCAGCGTGAAATACCGGAAACTTCAAATGAAAGAAAAAAATCAAAGATGATAAATAAACGCGAATGGAGTATCTGTAAAATACACTGTATAAAATTTCACCTTTTTTTATCATATTTGGTTTGTGTTTCAGTTGCAATCTCCTCATTGAAAAATCGCTTTTATTTTAAACCGGAATTTCGGGTCTGATGAAAGACATACGAGACGCCTTTTTTCCAGTTCGGAGTATTCAGTCTGATATATCCGGAATACAAAAAACAGCCTCCGGTCGATCATTCATTTGAATTAGGTCGCTTAAAACATATTTACTGCAAGTATTCCAAACATGTTTGTATGCATGAAATACCTCGAACAAAACATTCAGTCTGATCGGCGATACCTGCTGAGTTTCGGTTCTATCCACAAAACTGTAGACCAAATAAATAGTCAATAAATATCTTGCAGTAAATCTACTCTTTTCCACTCCCACGACAGCTAGCAAAACAAATCTTGCACACATCACGTTAATAAAACTACATTACCACTTTTACACTGATGTAGAATTAAGGTCTTATTGTGTATTTGTAAATCCACTGAGCTCTGACATTGTGGTCCGACCGGCCCTGCAAGTTAGACATGCACAATCAGTTACATACAGCTTCCTTAAAATAGAATGCTGGCGGAATTTTGAAAGAGATTTGATTACAAAGAGAAATCAGCAAGCGGATGTAGCAATCACCTGGTATTTTAAGACATTGTTTGCGGTCTGTCAAAACTGAGACGGTGAAGTGATTTCCGAAGGCGGATTTGAATTTGAAAAATCGTATTTCTTTTTTCATTGTGTGCGAAGTGAGAGGGAAATGTACAAGAAAAACAAAGCCACAGACGTAACGGCTGGAAATTAAAAAAATCTCTCTAATCTCAGTCCTGAATAGTTTGTGTTTTGCTTGAGAGAAATCATTGGCTTAATCGCTGGCACTGTCACCACAAGTATCAAGTGAGTAAGGTCTGGTAGGTAATACAAAAGATTTGTGTATCTGCAATATTTACCAGTCATTTTCTCAATTCAACGAAACTCGTAATATTAGAATGGTTTTATCATCATGATAAATGCTAAGTTTCTCCCATGGCTCCACACTGAAAGTTTAAATAGGTTTGGTAAGAAAAAGTCGATGTAAAAATCGTCTTTCAATTTTTGCAGGTTGAAACACGACACCGAGCTCACCCAAAAAACTATTGCCGATACATTCTACCAGAAGACTTTCCTGCGGTTACCGTCGTAAAAAAAGGTAAACAAAATTTGATATACATTTCAAGAATTTAAATGCTCCTTATTCACCTTTGGCCAGATTTCCTTTCGCTGATTCAGTTTTTTCCTTTGATGTCTTTTTTCTCCACAGAATTTCCTCTCAGCTTGAGTGCATATCGTGTCATTTTTTAAAACGACTCGAAACATAAACATTTAATCGGAAGGAGACCCCATTTAGGACTCTTTCAATTAAGAAATCTGTGCTTGTGTGAAGTAAATTAGGAATCAGTCACGAAAAATTTGGAAGTTAATTGCCGCGTTTCTGGAAAAAAAGACAGAGCCTTTGGTTAGTTTATTCTTGTCAGTAACAGGTAATTGAGATCCTAACGCCAAAAGCAAACCTCTTTGTACCTACGTGATGCAATAAACATTTGGTTTTTGGTTTGACCCAAGAGTATTTATCAGGAATTATAAAAAAACAAAATATCAGGGGAACTTTAAAATTTCGTTTTGAAAAATTCCCTTTCGCTTTCAGATAATGGTTCGGTGAAAGTACAATTTAATGAATTGCTTTTAATAACTGCATTTGTGATTTCACCTTTCATAAAAGTTCGAGCGGTGTCTAATTTAATCTTATGACTGAAATATTTCAACGCAAATTTTAACCAAATCTAATTCAACTTTCTGCCTGCTCTAGAATTTTTTCATTATTAGAAAAGAGCATTGCCTTAAATGTGAAACACTTCATGAGATAACTTTTCTTCATTCAATTTCAGATTAGAAATCAGCTCCTAATCATGAACAATTCCTCTCAACACATTGTCGTGGGAACAGCGAGTTTCATGACTACTTCTGACGTCACGGCATGGTGTACTGCGTTTGCGGTCGAATCTGTCATTGTGGCAATCGGAAACTTGTTCATTATCACAGTCTTTGCTAAGACCATAGAGCTACGCAGACAACATCGCCATTACTTCCTAATGAACTTAGCCGTTGCTGATTTTTTCGTGGGAGGTCTTGCGGCGCCTCTGTTTGTTTACATCTTAGGAGGATTTTACAATTTATGGCCGTTTTCCAAGTACAAACATACTTTGTATTCTATTAGCATATTCCTGGACATGTTCTCCGGGATATCTTCAATCGCTTTC